AGAGAGAGAGAGAGAGAGAGAGAGAGAGAGAGAGAGAGAGAGAAACAAACAGAAAAGTAGAAGCAGAAGCAGAAGCCAAAATTCACGAGTGAAAAATTTTCTCTCGCTCTTTTGACTTTTTTAATTTATCGTTACTATCGTGTATCTGCCCTGTCCGATAATTAACGTGTCAACGAATAATCACAAATTTCACGTCGTCGTTCCATTTCTTCCAGGCTTACTGGACGAGGTAACGGAACTCACGTATATAAGCGATATTTTGAGAAGACTCGGTTAATAAAGAAGAATGCTACGCCGTTGAAAGGAAACGCGCTCGTTTACGCATAAAAGTATAACAGTTTTTCTTCGAATTGCGTCGAATTCGAATTTCATCTTACTTTCAATTTTCAATTCTCTTCGCTTACGTGTTTACGTCTACGCGCACTCGTTCCGCGTCGTTAACTCTTCTTCTTGTACATCTCGCCAAGTTCCTTTCGCTATCTCGATCTTCGTCGTTAACGAACACAAAGAATTCCAATTGCGCTCTGTGAACCAGCTCTGTAAATTGCGAGTTATTTGTTCGTTTCTTCGATGGACAAAAATCCATGATCGCGGTGTATCGCGTGCTGTAATTCAATTCCGCAACTGTACGTTTCAAAAAAATGTGTGCTTTAATAAAATACGAAATATATTATAATTCATACTTCGCTTCAGTAATATTTATTCACGTTGCATCCTGATATTCGCTGATCAAGAGGTACAAATTATCACATTTAATCTCAGGTACGAAAAAATACATACATACGTACATATATATGTATATTTTTCTTTTTTTTTTCTCTTTTTTTCCATTCTGTCACACTTTCTCCACGTAAACATATTTATGCTGCAAGAATCTCTTTTATAATCTTTCCTCCTTTTTCTCTTTCCTTCTCGATACGTTCGAAGATGCTACGTCCCGTCCCGTCCCGTCCCGTCCCGTTCCGTTCTGTTCCGTTCCGTTCCGTTCCGTTCAAAGTATTATATACACGTTGCTTAATCTTTTATTATCGTATAAATAGAAAGAAAAACATGCTTGCTTTACAAGTAAATTACATAGTTACAAACGTAAAGCCTAAACCGGTTATGCTTGAAACATTGCGTTAGAAAACTGTTCGCCAAAAAGCTGTTTACTTTCGAATTTGTTCCCTGCTAAACCGATCCGTAATAATTTAAATTTATTGCGCTTGCTATTCGATTATAGCAATAGTGGGGTAATCTTGTAATACCTAACTGTATAAAAACAAATTCTACTTTCTACGACTGTTCGAAAGAGAGATGCGAACTGTATATTCTATTAAAATTATCAATTTCATTGAGATTGGAAATTTTTAATGAGTATAAAAATTTTAAAAAGTAAAGAAAAAAAAATCGGATAAGACGATTTTCTAAAAAATACAAACGCGTTTTGTAGAATATTTTTAATAAAATCGTATATTCTATGTGTCGCTTTTCCATAATTTGATGGTTTTATCGTTTTCAAGGGCGGCTGAGGCTATAATGTTATCGGTCGGATGACACGTCGTACACAGTACTACATCTGCAAATGAATTAGAAATTGGATTAGTACGTTACGCGTCGACGACGACACGTTCAAAAATAATATTTTGCAGTAACGATACAACGAAAACAACGAAAAAAAATTATAATCCGTCCGTTGTTATACCTGTATGACCTTGTAATTTTTGAACAATCTCCTTAGTCTGCAAATTCCAAATGTATACCATATTGTCTTCCGAACCCGATACGATCCACTAATTGACAATAGAAATCCGTTAATCCGATTAATTTATCCATGTACGTCGAATGAATTAATCGTGTTGCACGTAGGAACGTGTAAAATTGTACGGCCTACCTTCCCTCCGGTAACTGAAAAATTTGCAAAGATGCAATATTTCTCATTTTTATGACCCGTGTATGTTTTCAGACATTTTCCTTTGCTATAATCCCAGAGTTTTAACGTATTGTCCAACGTCGCCGCTAAAATATATTTCCCGTTTGGCGAAAACTTTACAAAAGATACAGGAGGATTGTCATCGTCGATCAACGTTTTCAGACACTGGCCGGATGCGGTGTCCCAAATTCGACTGTACAACAACAGTGACATGGCGATTAGTGCTGTTCCTGTTCGTCTATTCACTCTCTAACGAACAAATATTGATATAGCAAAAAGGAATATGCACATTTACCATAATCCATCGTAACTGCTAGACACGATTAACGAACCGTCCCTGTTAAAATGAACCGCACTTACAGGATCCGAGTGAGCGGGTAACGTTTTCAGGCATTTTCCAGTTCTCACGTCCCATATCCGAACGCTTTCGTCAAACTGTTCGTAACATTAATTCGTAATTAATTAATTCGTCGTTATATCCACAGTATTGACAATAATAATGACGTCGAATACCCATTCGATGTCGTTAATATCGTCGCCTAATATCCTTACACGTGCAGACCTCTGTCCACGCGCAAACACGCAAGTCGAGCGTTCTTTCGACAAAGTTCGAAGATATTGTGAAAAATATAATTTTTTTTAAATTATAAAATCCTTTTATTTAACTCGACGAGCACCGTCGCAAGTTTTTCTCTTCTTTTCCGTTTCGTTGTTGAATAACTATAACTCGAGTGATTCTTATTATATATTATTATTACAGCGCGATAAACTTACGTACGTGACTCGGAGGCTTGCACGCTGTTCCGAAGAACGGTGTTTCTCTCATGCAAACGATCGTATTTCTGTCGAGATACTTACGGAACCGGAAACTATTAAATTCGATTGTGGATTAAAATTGCAACAGAAAACATAGTTACTATGACCTTTTAAAGTTTTTAAGCACTTTCCCTGGAAATAAAAGAAACTGCGTCACTGAACACGAACTATGTCACGAAAATGATTTTTTATTATTATTATTATTATTATTTAAGTTTAGTTGCAAATCATATTACGATGTAACTTTAAAGAAATAGCAATAAAAAAAACACTTTGTGATTTGTAATCTAAATTCAACTCGAATATAATAAATTCTCGAGATAAAAGTAGTCAACTTACGGAACTTAATTCCCATATTTTTAAAGTTTTATCGTCGGAAGCAGATACTAATAGTCTGCTGTCGCTGGACCACGCGACATCCGAAATACCTAGTTTATGGCCGGATATAGTTTTCTCAAATTTTCCATCGTAGGATCCCCATATCTTGATTAACTTATCCGCAGCTGCGAGCAAAAAATTAATCAAGTTTCGACAAAAGTCGCGACAGTTGTAAGATGAACAAAATTAGATTGGAAACGTTTCTACTTACAAGAGCTTGCGAGCCATTCCCCGTTAGGACTAAACTTTACAGAGGAGACTGCTTTGGTGTGACCTGCCAACGTGTACTTCAAAGTATAATTTGGTTTCTACAAAAATCAAAAGGCACAAAGGCACAAATTTTCATAAAATGTTTTGCAGAAAGAAGAAGAGAGATACCGAGATAATAAAGATACCGTGCAATAAGAAAACGGAGAAGAGCGGAAGATATTACTGTAAGATAGAAAGTACAAGGTACGAATTAATAAGTTTACTCGCCAATGTAGAGCTACTTTTAGTGCCACTAGCTGGAGCAGTTGCGGTATTATTGACGGATGTTTGATGGCCTGGTGACGGTCCAAGTGGTACCATTTTTACACAAAAAATTTCAGCAAATTCGCCAACTTTTGAAATAAGAACTGAACGAAGATTAAAATAAATTGTATCGGCAAACTTTCAGGAATTTTCAGCGCATTCACTGTCCGATCCTCCGAGCGAAAATCCAGGAGAGAATCCTTCCTTTGTTGAAAGAATAAAGAATTCGTTCAAATTCCTTTATTACTTAAAATCGATGTGAAAACCTGCATCTTGGATTCGTAACGTATCCAAAATTCTTCATCAAAGATGTCTTTACATTTTCTTGAAATCGCTAAGGTAATCGCTGGTAGGAGTAACTTTTTGTTGTTGACTATCGACTCGTTGAGTCTCGAATCGTCGAAAGTTATTCTACGTGCTCTTCTTCTTTCCGCAGTTCCACCTCGCCTTTAATTTTCGTGTTTGTCTCTTTTCAGTTGTACTTTCGTAAATGAAAACATTCCTTCGTCAACGAACAGTTTCCAAAGCATTTATATACCTGGCGAAAATGGAAAACAACAAAATTGCGTTCATAACACTCGACGTTCTGCGTTAGGTTTGTAAAACTTGAACCTGAACCATCGATCGACCAAAGATATAAGAGACGCGACGTCGAACGAGAATTCGCGTCCCACGCGTTCGAAAATGATCAAAATGTTTCTTGCGCCCTCTGCGATCGCAAATATCACGTGATTGAATTATTTTCAACTCGAAAACGGAAAGACCAGCAGCTGTGCTGCATGAAAACATATTCGTTCTCGTCAAATTTTGAAAAAAAAAAAAACAAAACGGTTGTGTAATTAATGTAAAAGTATCAGCGTGTTAGTAATTAGTGTAAAATAATCTGTGGGGATTTTCAGTCCCTTGCGCGTTCGAATGTTCCAACGGGAAGAAGACGGGAAAAGACCACAAATGGGATGTTTAACAGTAATTTATTAACGGCAGAAAAGAATCGACCAAAGTACCGCGCGGAAACGTTTGTATTTCAAGATTACAACGACGTCGTGTCGATGATACGCGACAGACGCGACGCTACGATCGAACGCTCGCGATTGGTTGATCGTATGGTGCAGTGCCGTCATTCGTCGACGAGCATCGATATCAAAGATTACGACATTTTTAGTATTGACATTTATGGACAGGTGGCACCTCCAAAATGAATTATGCAGCGACATCTATTCAGTCTTGTGAAAAGTTACCGTGGAAATACAATAAATTATTGTTTACCATGTTACAAACAAATTGCCGAGAATATATATAATAGTAAAGGAGAAATTAATAAACAGTCGTCAGTCGTAATTCATCCATATAAGTTCTATATCGTGTAAACGTTGAAATAAGTGATAAAATTTTTTTTTCGTAGAACGGTGACTTTATTTATTATCGATTATCGTTCCTACAATTATCTTGTTTTCCAATTACTTACGTTTTATCGATTAATTACACAGCAAATCGGAATGATACGCGTAAAGAGAGAGGAGGTTTGCGAGAATTGCTTCCATTCGCTTGGACGGATTGAACGTGCAGCCTACGGATAAATTCAGTTTTTCAACTTTATTGCGAAAAGATTTCTTCCACCATTTTGACTCAACGTCGCGCTGAAATTTTCATTTGCAAACAAATTTAATTATGGGAACTCATTCGTCAGATTTTTAATTGCATCTTCGGAATTGGATCCTCACCTTTTTTCCTCGTGTTCTACTTTGGAATCCGTACAGCGAACGAACAAAGATTTACAAATTGTATTCGATAGGTTGAACTAATCGTTCGACTAACTCCTCGGTAATTACTGATTGTTATAAGTTACATTCGAAATTTCGATTAAAGTTGTTTGCGAACGTAAAAAGCTGTGCGCGTGTTTTCGAATGTGAATCTTTATTGGTCGTTGACAATCGTCGTACTACGTACTACTTTTGCACACGAGGCTCGACACGACGAACTTGTGCATAAACTTTTTTGCTTTTTCTACAATTTATCGACTAACTTATCGATCGATGTTCAAACTTGAATTGTCGTCGCGTGACAATCGATCTTAACCCTTTGCACTCGGAACAATTTTTAATATAACCTATCGACAACTCCGAGTCATTTTTGCTTACGCCGAGGCGCGTCTCTGTGGAATATTGAAAATCTTGCTTTGTCGTTAAAAAAAACGTGAATACATTTTTAAAAATATGTTTTATTGATACGATATAATTAAAAAAATATATAAAAACGCAATAAATAAAAAAAATTACTTTTTGAATTTCCTCATTTTATGGTATCTTGCAAAACAATCCCCAAGGTGCATTCTTGGCTTGTTAGGGCAAGTATCGCAGTATTCACTCGTTTCGCGTCTTCCACCTTTCTTCCGTCTATTGGAGCAAACGACGCAATCTCTTTTCTTACCTTTGCGCATTTCGTGAAGTTTCCCGTTTAACCTGAACTCGGAAGATGACGTAGAAGCTCTACATCTTTCTTGTCGAAAATTATCAATCAGTTGATCGACTAGTAGTTTAACATATTTCAAGTGGGTCAATGGCTTTTCGTTTTGTTTCGTTTTCTCAATTTTATATATGATATATGAATTGATTACAGACACCTCGATGCCCCAAAAAAACATTTTTCTCCACCACTTGAGAGACTTTCTCAAAAAACAATAGGTAGATGCGTATTGATCAGCTCGATCTACACCCCCCATGGAATTTATGTAGCTGGCAACTATATTAGGCTTTCTAATGTTTACTTCTGTGCCCCGTCGAAGAATTCTTTTTGATTCTATCGTTCCAGCATCGTGCCAAGTACTCAAAAGTGACACGACCCTCTTGTCTTTCCAGGCTAAAAACATGATTTTTTCTTTTTTACGAATGAAAGTTTTCTTATCTGAAAACTTTGGTTTTTTCATAAAGATCGGAATACTTTCCCTGTTAGCTTTTATAGCGCCGGTCAAGTGGCATTTCAATTTCATTAGTTCTTCTGCCAAAGGTATACTGGTATAATATCTATCGGTAAACATATGGTAACCCTGCGCCTCGGGGATTTTATCCAACAACTTTTGATACAAATGCAGCGGAATTCTAGTACTTACTGGTAAATCTGGACGAGTAAGATTTTCTGACGTGACACTTCCGTAACAAGGTAATATGGAATAGATGTATCCTGTTTCAGAATCCGCCATCGTATAGATTCTTATGCCCCACTTTGTTGGCTTAACAGGGTTGTAAGTAATGAAAGAAATTTTCCCTTTGGATTTTACTATGGATTCGTTTACAGAAATATTTTGACCAGGAATAAAGTGTTCAGAAAATTTTGAATCTAAATGGTCTAAAAAAATGCTGGCTCGTTGTATACGTGTTTTAAGATTTTTGCTTCCCGAGTCGGGTGTTTTTAAATGGAGCATCCAAAATATCTGATTGAATCGAGTTCTTGTAAATATATCCGAAAAGAAAGGGATTCTACTATTGTGTTTGGTCGACCAATATTCTTGCATGTTAGAAACAGGCATTGTACCCATATTTAGGATAAGTCCGATGAAAGCCCAGAATTCATCTTTATTCACATCGTTCCATGTTTGCCATATAGACTCTTTAGCTGTGCTCTTCGATTCCAATACAGATTTTGCATGGTTATTTGTTTCCTTTATTATTTCATCTACAAGCTGGTCTGAGAAAAATAATTTGAAAAACTGAATCGGTTCGGAAATATTGGAGGAAATTTGGGGTCCTGTTACCTTTGGTCCTATTGAAAAATTTAGTCTTTGGGGCATGTACCCATTCTCTGCAATACTGACCCAATCATCATCTTCCGAGGAGGTACTTGAGGTGTCAGATTCAACTGGCCGTGCTTTTTTCTGACATTGATGAACTGTTACATCGCTGTTATCACTATCGCTATGTCCATTTTCATTTATATTAATTTCAGCCAAATTGTCGCTGTACGTGTTAAATTCGAATTCATTTTCACTTTCCGAAAATTCATTTCTTGCATAGCTATTGTTTTCTTCCATTTTGAGGCTAGATATGTTTAAAAAAATGATAATAAC